TTATATAACTTCAGTGGGTAAAGATTACGAAAGCGGGTGGAAATAAAACGAAAAAAGGTGTTGAGCGAAAATCGCGCGGGCGGAAAGTGCACGGCACCGATTGGAATATGGTTTCCTTACAATATTATGCTAATAATATGACTACATGCAAACTGGTTGGGCTGCGTACCGTTTTTATCTGGATCCTGTAATTTTTTTTTTTAATAATATATACCTTATATTCATCACAAGTTAAAAATAATAATAATTACTTTATAAAATGTATAATAATTTTGATCATATTATACGCGGAGCAAATGAAATCCTAAGACACAAAATATGTGCATACATTTCTGGCCACTGATGTAGGTTGAAAGTTAAAAAAGGAATAGGATATTATACTTTAAAGGAATTTAATTTGCATATATTTCATGCAACGATAAATTATTGAAAATAAAAACCATTCTAAAGGGTATTCGGATAAACATAAGTGATTAATTTAAATTCAATTAATTTTGAACTACAAAATAAATTATATATATAATAATTTAATGTATTAAACGGATTTTATCATGAATTTGTACATATACGCTGACACGAATAAATAACAAGTTCAATATTACGCCCTAAACTTATTTGTTTTATCCCTATGTACAACTTATAATAAACATTGTATCAAAGTTTTTTTAAATTTTTGAGCAGCTCAAACAATTTGTCCCTATAAAACCAAATAAAAATTTAAAAAACTAGAAAATTTCAATGGATAGCTCTAAAACGCCAGCATGTTTTGAACATATAGGTTAGATATTGTACCATATCAAGGGAGGGCTCATAAAAATGTTCTGTGAAAATGTCAAGTAGATATTTACAATTACAACTATTTTTCATTAAATTCAATAAAAATCGAAAATAAAGTAAAAGTAGTCAATAATTCGAGCAAGATTTCTGGTACAAAAAAAAATCACACACCAAATTATAGGAACACATTTCTCGCTACGTTTAGAATCTTAAACCGCCCTGTATTTATCTAGGTTATAATATAATAATGTGTATATTATTATATTATAATATTTATGGCCCATGATACTTTTCGGTTGTTTTGAAAATACGCGTATAATATATAACAAATACTACGCGCACGGGCACCTCATACGTATTATTTACGACCATGTGTTTACCTAGGTACATTATTATTATTAGTATTACGGTTTTGGTTATTATTTGAGTTTTATCCACTTGTGTAATACAATCGACTTATTAAAATCGGCCGAGGGGTACCCCATAATATTGTGCAGCACTTGTGCCGTGCGTAGGATATCTAATCCTCAGGCACACAATACTATTATGATAATCAGAGCCTGATTTAGGTCGAGTATATTACAAGTCCAATAATAGCCTATAGGTGAAATGACCTCCAATATATATTATATAATATTAACGTATAGTATACAGAAAATATTAAAACTAAAAACAATTACGAATTAATAACAATACAATAATAACATTTTAGTCTATACGTGGTACACACTATACAGGCCGTACTATAGCCATTTTATAGCTCGGTCTTCTAGTACGTCCGGATTCTGGAAAATCCTACCCAATATAAATGAAATAAGCCGTCTTTAAATGTTCACCGTGGATTTCGGAGTATTGATTATCGTATTACTACCGTGATTTATGTTTATGTTTTTCTAATCAGAGTACCGAGATATCTAGGTGCTATTATTAGATATTCAGTGATGAGTGGTAAATGGTTAACACGATGAGAGAGTACAGATGTGTGTGTCTTTCCCTTTACCCAAACCGATAAACCGTCGCTTACAAAAAAACGATTCTGAACGGAGTCTAGTATCTTATGATGCTTTTTCAATATATATATATATAATTTTGTAGTAAAATAATTATATAGGTTTTATATAAGTATATTTCTCCTTTAATATTTGTTTAATGTTGTACCGATTTTCCCAATTTATCTACGTTTTTCTCGGTTTTCCCAGTTTTAAACCGGTTTTCACTGGGATTTTGCTGGGAAAACTCCTGAGAAAATCAAAAATGAACTCTCCAAAGTACGAACCACCCCCCCAGTGAAATTTCCTTTTAAAAAAAATTGCTGTCACTAAAAGGATTGAAGCAAAATTGCTGGTAGAGGTTGTCGACAAAAAAAAAAAAACTTCATAATATTATACAAATATATTTCGTACATTTTCCGGTTTCTCCTCAGTTTTTTATTTTGGTTTTTCGTATTGGATGAAAAATTCTTGACTACCTTAAAGTAGCTTCTCACACCGATTTTCTTTCAGAAAAGGTGATACACGTAAAAATTGAGTCCATCAGGACCAAAAGATTTAATCCACAAAGAGTCCAGAGAAATCCAAAGATTTTAAGGGATAAACAGAGTGCTGGGTGAAATTTATCAAGAGGAACAAGTGGTTCAATAGATGGGCTTGTGACTAAATTAAGTATTGAACAAAAAATAAGTCAATTATTGAATAGGATGAGTTTTTTAAAGCATTTAGTTGGAAAAAACCATTAAAAACGGAGCTTTCAGAGATACACAAAATACGAAGACTAACGGATAAAGAGTAGGTAAGACCGAAACTGTCATTAGACCAGAGTATTTCAGTTAGATTATAATCACCAAAAAAAACAGGTGGAATTTGGGTGAGCAAGAATAATAGAGTTGATAGCATTAGTGTATTGCTGGTACAAGGGAATAGGACTAAGAGGAGGGATATAAAAACGGCTAAGTAAGAACTGTGTTGGACCAATGGAGAATAAAACAAAAGTTGTTCATATTAGGTGAACAGTTTTGATTTAAAAAAGAAGGAAAGTCCTTTCTGACGCCAATAAGAACACCACCACCGAAGAGAGATGTGAAATGGAGGCGGAGAAATTATTGCACCTATAAATTAGTTTATAGTTAAGATAATTAGTTAGATCCAACTCATGGCCAAAAATATCAAAATGTAACCAAGTTTCTGTTAAAACAATAAAGATACAATTTAAACAACTAATATTTCAACTTAACAAATTCAATTTGGTCTTAAGACCACGAGTATTTTAATAATAACCAAGTTCAGGAATGTTACAGTCTTTCATAACTACCTCATGAAATTTGAATGGGCAATGGTTTCCAAGTTTTATGGATTTTCGATTTAAGACTGAGAAAAATTATAATAGTTAACAATCCTAAAATGTTCAGTATTGCAGTTTTGAAGTTTCAGAACAATATTAAAAACTTATTAAACCGTATAAATTTAAAATTTAAAACATTATCAAATAAATAAAAAATCAAATATAAACCTAATAAATATTTATATTCTACTACTACTCTACATAATTTGATAAACATAACAAAATAGACAATTTTTAAAAACAAATATTGAATAATATTTATATTATATATACATATAATATAAAAGTTTAATAATTAATAATTATTAATGATTAATTTTTGACAATAGGTCGATTACAAAAGTAAAATGACATGTTACAAAAAAAATTGACTTAGGTATCATATATTATATCTTATTGATTTTTAAAGTGTATCGTGTTACTGGTTTAAGATATTCCCATGTTTATGTCTTTGTAATCACAAACAATATTATATTTTATACTGTACTTAAAATTATTGTTTTTATCATATTTTATAGAATTTTTTGTGTTTATATTATTTATTTTTGAATTGATTTGTGAATTGTGTTAGTGAATCGTGTTCAAACTTTTAATGTGCTTTAAATATTATATGTCAATATTTAGCTTCCAATTAACATGAATTTGGAATACTGGTTCCAACATTTTTATAACACTTTTCATCCAGTAAGAAGCAGTTTAAAAGATTCTCAAATTTCACCACTCATCCCTTCACAATTCAAAAACTACAATTCGTTTAATTTTTAATGTCTATATTTAGCATATAATTAGCCTAGATTTGCATACCTATTAATGCAATTCCCGTGCTTTTATTTCAAACAAAACTTTTTGAACAAATTTAACTTAAACATGTTATACAATTTTTAAAAAGTATGGTTTAAGTTTCTTTACAACATAAACAACAAAATTATTTTTTGTGAAGGATCCCAAATCATTTAACATTTGTGAATTGCCTACACTTATTTTTTCTGGTCCATCAGAAATTTGTTCAACTACAGAATTATGATTCTAACAAGTCAACATTATCATAAACAGAAAATAAAGATTTTTAAAGAGTCAAAGAGCTTTTACCTATATCCTCTTCACAGATACTACCTGGTATCTGGGCTGACATCAAATTGTTTAAAATCAAAGTCCTGTAGGATGATGAAAAACTACTACAAATTGGGATCCTGTAACCTAAGGCTCTCATAATAATTCAAAAGAAACCTGGTTAAAATTTCTTAAAAGAATTGAATGAACCAACAGTTCTTCAAAACTTTGTTTACTCCTTGGAAACCTGTCAAAATTTAACATTAAAACAAATTTAAATTTTATAGAAGACCATAATTTAATCTCTTATTGCATTTTGAAAACGATGTTGTAATTCAGGTATTTAGGTATGCAAAAATTGACCATGTTAAATAATTAAATAATTATGAAGTAATAGTTTTTCAATTTAAAAATAAAATATTAAAAATTTTAGTATTTACCTTTTATTATTTTGGACGAGTTTTTCAATATTGGTGGCTGCGGTGTACTTCTTTTTTTAGTAATTGGACTAATGAAGACCATTGTATCTAAGATCTTCAAAGAGTCAATCCATAACTGATGATGTAGATAATTAGTTTTAACAGAAGTTCTAAAAATTTTCCCATCTTCAATTTTATTAAAACAACCGTTTACTGAATCAAACAACTTGTAGAAAAACAAACAAAATATTGGAGTGTATCAGGCGTTTTCATCCAAATATTTTTTAGCTGAGATAAAAAATTAAAGATAATATTAATTACAGTACAATTATTAGCCAAATATGAATAACACTCACAAGCTAAAAAATGGATGATCGAAGACACCATTTGACTTAATACTTGAGAAGCGTTAAGAACTTACATTTTTTTTTTATTTTTGTCCGGTATTACATGTTTTACAGTTAACCTTGGTAATAATTTAACGTCATCTATATTGCTGTCTAGTTTAAAGAGGTCTAAAATATGTTTCCAGCTAGCTTCATGTTTATTATTATTTTCAATAAAAGATCTTTTTATTCGACAAATTATTTGTATTTCCTTTAAAAGTTGCGGTGGATCATTTAAATGAACTAATTTTTTAATGACTTCTGTACCACAATCAACTTCATAAAATAAATCATTATAATCAATATTTTTCTTCAAACATTTAACTTTGGTTTCTGCTCTGAGGAGGTTAATTGCAGCAGTGTTAGTTGCTCTTTGGTCATATATGGTGGCAATTACTTTATGAGCAGTTGAATGAATAGCCTGTACTTTTTTAATTTGATTTGACAAATCATGACGACTAGTGATGCTTTTACAAAATGTAAAAGATATTAACTGCTTGTATTTTTTTATTACTCCTCTGATCATGAAGACTAGGGCATGGTTTGCAAATTGTTGTGTCCTAGAAATGTCATTATCTTCAAAGCCACTTATGAATTTTATATTATCATCATACTGTAAATGTGGTACGAGATTCATTTCATTGAATAAAAGTACACAGATCTTATATTTCTCATTCAGTTTACAAATTTTTTGTTGCAAAACCTTAATTAGTGGTTTATTGTAACCAGTACTAATTGGAATTCTAGACAAAACATTTGAAAATGACTTTCACCCAGACAAAGTAAACATTTTTAATAATATTCTATAACAATAATTGGTATTTTGTATAGAGATAAACTTAATAATTTTTCTTCCAAAGTGAACCATCATCCTCTAGCTTTAGTATTGGTTTCTCGTAACAGTAGTTTGGTGAAAATAAAAGCTGATGTGGTTATTTGAGATGATAGTATTGAATTAAAAAATTTGATGCAACAGTTAATCGCTTTTTAAATGAATCGCGCTATTTCCTGGAACAGCGAAGTTCTTTATTTAACCACACAGTGTGTGAATAAAAATATTTGCATTTTGGAGTCAATTGGTTGGCTTGTTTCACACCAATTGTTGATAACAAACCTATATGAAAACAAAATATTAACCATAAGTCTTAAAAAAAATAAAAATAATATTTATTTTTAAGTTTATGAATTCAAAATGTATTAACCAATTTTCTTTGTATTTCTTTTTTATGATTCAATAGTACTTCCATAACTATAAGAATTTTCACAAGCTGTAGATATTAAATGATAAATATATAAGCATATCACATAATTAAGCAAACTAGTAAATATACATGAGAATAAATAATATGATAAATAAAAATATTAGTTTTTCTTACTCATATTATGGTCATGGTTTTGGTTTGGAGTTGAATGATCAAGGATTGAAACCTTATTTCTATCAATACCATTATCTAGAAGTCATGAATTACATATATAAACAACTTAAAAGTTTCATATAAATATCCAATTAGCAAAACTTTCATTGATCAGCTGTTAAAACCTGACAAGTCTTAAGTTACAACATGCCATGTTACTTATGGTTGCTAAAGAATCACTATGATCTACATTTTGATCTAGAAAGATGAAGCAAAAGTTATAAATTATGAAATTATAAAAAAAATCACAATAAACAACCAATTACCTGAATCATTATTTGCATTATTCGGTAACCTCTAAGTCTAACTGCATTAAATCAGAATATGACACAGAACCAGAGTTATCTATATCTGCAATTAAAAATTTAATGTATAAATAATTCAAATTTTAAAAACTAATTATAAGTATTTTAATTTTGATATATATTTACTAGAAACGTGTGAATTTATAGACACATATTAAATAGAAAACATCTAGAACATAATATATAGATACAATGAAAAGTAATTACCAATTTTGTCTTTCTAAGATTTAGAACCGGAAATGCACATTTCTTCAACATTTTGGATTTTTATTAATATGATTGGAGCAACTCTTTTTTAAAAATAAATAGTTGAAGAATCTAAATCGGAAAATTATTCTTCATCTAGTATTTGAATCCATTAATTCATTACATTCAAATATACTTTTGGATTTGGAAAACAGAGTGACATTCTACCTAGTTTTAAAAATCAAATTTTCTTTTTAACTAAGTATATTAATAAAAGACAATATCTATTATGTTATTGTCGAAATAATTTGTCAACAAAGTGCTTAAACATAACTAACAAGTAACCAAACCAAATAAGTTCTACTGAACGTAAATATATCATGTTACAGTCTTTAAGATATGGATAAACAGAAAACATACATAAGTGTGGCGATATCTAAAATACATTATGTTTCCCACATTTGTAAGCACTTTGCTAACAATTTTTAACACAAAAAGCCACTGATAAGCATTAATTATAATAGTAATATACATATAAAATTACATTTAAATGTACAGCCTTTCACACATTTGTATGCTTCTTTACCCATGTTTTGAACTATTGAATGCAAAAAAGTGCCAAGTGAAAATTTAACTGAACAACTGACAATAAATGCGAAATGCGAATAGCAAACAACAATAAATATAGCAATATTACACATTCAATCAGAGATTCAAAAACCAGCAATTTTTATTTTTTTAAGGTTGCACTATAGCATCATGGATAAAACGACATTAATGACTCCAGATTTTAATGGACGAACTATTTTTAATACTTTATTTGCGCCAATAGAGTTACCACCCACTGAACGGTTGACAATGACTAGACAAAATATAGCATATATTATGTTATAACATAATGGTACAATCGCGATGAGTACAAATAGTTAGGAACTGGGTTGCGGTAACAAGATAATATAATACACAGTGGTTGATAAGGATAACAATAATTGGCAATGATAAATAATTCAAGTGATAGTGTGGGACCAGGTCACCACAATATAATGGATAGGTTACGACTAAATATAACATGGTATGACAGAAACTGCTTAATTGCGCATGACGACCACGTCATCCAGTCTCGGTAAAAAGGCGCATCTCAAATATTGTATGATAAATTAAATTTATTACTAATCAGATCTGTGTCTCACCGTCTCAGTACAAACTAGGAACACGATATTGTATTTCACGTGGCTAAATATCAAGCCGTGGTATTTCACGATTATCCTTTTAGTTAAATTACTATTTATTAGGACATTACAACTGTATAGTTATTATACAGATGTAGGAATGTAGGATAAATAAGGTTTTTAGATTTACGTAAATGTACTCCGAGACGTGCCGGTTCGACCGGCCGCCTTATTTTGAGAACCGTCCCGAGCGCCCAGCTGACTATCCGCCTAGGAACAAGGTCGCCAACCTAGAAACGAGGTCCGAAGACCGCAGACCTAGGATTTCTGTTAGGAGGGAAAAGGGAAAAGGGAAAATTACATTCATCTAAATAAGTATACACGTGTTTTTTTTTATGGAGAGAAAAACGAATTATTTTATTGAATCGTTAATCATCGAATTCAAATAAAGTTACGTTGGTGTGACAGAAAAGCCCCGTGGCATAAAAACTGTCAACCACGAGAAGGCGAATAATAGGTAGGATTTTACACAGGTATATATATAGAATGATAGACACATATATTAACAACATATATTTTAAATACACTCACATATAAATATATAGGGTAATTGGGGCGTCAACCAGTCCAAAAACTTCGTCGTCCGGACGCATGTATGGATGTAACGGGCGGCGTGCAGGCCGGGACTTATTAATAATAACGAATTCACACCCACGTGCGCGCATACCGATATATATATTGAGACGGACCTCCACGTGGAATTTCGTGGACACAGTATATATTTTGGGAGACCCCAGCAGGTATGCGATGTTGGCCAGGTCGCACATATTACGACCGGGAAGGGTAGCTGAACGCTTTTATTCCAAATTGATTGGTCCGTGGTTATGGTGGTCCTACGGGTTAACTTGCGGGGTGCGTCCGAACACGGATCGCGAGATGGGGAAATCAATCGATATTATGTAGATTCTTTTTTTTTAAATACGCACACGCGCGTGGTTGCGAAGCTTAGTGCTTAAAGGGAATACAAAAAAAATAAAATAAAGAAACAAAAATGATGGGGGGGGGTTGCCTATTGCACGTAGGATGTGGAACGCGAGGATTATTACAATGAGACGGACGCACCAACCTAATAGACGCTGGTTGATCCCCGTAAATATAACGGAAGAATTTAACAGGTTCGAAAGAACAAAACAAAAACATTTTAAACGAAATATTTAAACGGGCGACATTTACTTAACTAACTTAATACTACCTGACTAAACGGGATATGGGCCAGTTATTAAATTGCGTGTATATTACCAATCATCTCGCCCGAAGATGTCCGGCCAGCGGACCAGTTCGGGACTCACTCCATTAGTTCGTTTGAGTCACCGTCGGGAAACATGCCAAGGTATACGACCTTTCTTAATGGCGAAAAATATGCGTACCCGTACAGTACGGGAGTGTTGCAGCAAAGAACTGTACCGAAAGAGTCTCGATACGAGGTCCGGACGCGATGAGAGAGTGGAACGAACAGAACGGAAAGGTGGCGGAGCTCCGAGACGTTCGCGAAACAAGTCGCCGCGGGCCGACGTTTCTGGCGATAAGGAGAAACGCGATACGATTGGCCGTTAACCCGTAGTCAGAAATATAATATTATTGAAAATTGCGATCGCGTAGACGCCGCGGACGTGATCTATTAACCGGTCGACTTTATCGATTGTACGTACGCTTGTCCTACGATAACGAAAAATGGTCGTTTTTGAACGTTACAACTGGCAATGTAAATAAATTTACTGAGGATAATGAAATTTCATTATTATATGTTTTTTTTTTTTTTTTTTTTCTAATAATACTATATCGCTTGTTACACTTATAATTCATTTTATGATTTAATTTAGTAATTGTTTAATTTTTATATTTAAAAATATTATACAATGAAACAATGTACATGTTACATATGTACTGAAAACGATTAAATGCATAATATATATGTTCTTATTTTGGTCTTATTTCCAACTGTTGGAGCATTATCGACAATATTTGTATTGAGATGATTGAACCTTACTAAAGTTCGGGTTCGGATTAAACAGCTTACCACTTCATCTGGTAATACATCATTACTTTTAAAAATAACTTGTGTTTCTAATGTTTCCATTACTTTAGGATTTTTATTGAATGAGGTACCATGCATTGCTTCAAAGTATTTATTCATTACTTTTGCAACTCTCATTAATGTATCCGATGGTGTAATTAAGTGGCCTCTTGACATATGTTGCGTCCAGCTGGTTGATAATGAACTATCCAATGACACTGAAGATTCTTTGCCTAAATTGGGATATTTATGTTCAAATCGCCTAGCCACATAACCAACTATATATTCTAATGCTTCATGCTTCACAGTTCTAATTGTTGTACTCTAGAAAAATCTAAGGAATTGTATGCTGATTTTAATTGCCTTGACCTAAATAATTTTTATACTAAAGACTATTTGCCAGAAGATGCATTGAAAAATATTTTTACAAAAGTTTTACCATTTCAAACTAATTTATCTTATAAGCTTCGTCTAGAGTACATAGAATTTGTTTCAAAGTTGGATAAGCTTAAAATAAATTGTGCAAATGTTTTGAATAAAAAAAAAAATATTGAAGAAAGTGCAGATGAATCAAACAATAGTACTGGTATGTATTCATAATTCTAAAATATTGTCTTTAAACAATGATTAATTAATATTATAACACAATCATACAATATTTTTACCTGCTACGAATAATGTTTTCAGTGATATATAATATTAATTTAGTTTATTTTATTAGTGTTGAAAATATGTCAGAAGAAATATCTACTCATCAAGCAGATAATACTAGCAGACCTGTAAAGTGTTGTGTCGTTTGTTGTTTTAGTGTTTTAGTTAAGTATATTTTATTTAGTTAACTAATTTATACACTAATATTTATCCGCTATATCTGTATTTATGTTATAAACTACTTTTATCATTTGCAGTCACACAACTAGGTTGTGAACGGAGTTTTCAAAAGAAATATTTTAAAAATTTCTTGAGAAACTCAATTACTCAAGATCATTTAAAAAGTTTTGTACTCACGAGTGTAGAAAAAGATATTTTAACTTCTATTGGTACAGATAGTGTAATCAATAAGGTTGCATTAAATAGTGAGTCTTGACAAAAATATATTAATGTATTAACTTAAAAAAGTGTAGATGTAAAATATATTATTATATTATATTCTTATATGATTTAAAACAATGAAAAATAAACAAATTTGTACTAAGAGTACCTATATTACTTAATAATTAGTTTTGTATTGTATTGTTGTATTAAAAAAAAGGTGCTCGCATCTTATTTTTTGGGGGCCCTTATTCAAATTATTTCCCGGTAAAAAAAATATATAAACCTATCTGCCACTGCATACCTAGTTACTAAGAATTAAAATACCCAATCTATAATAAAGAAAAATTTGATGATTGAAAAGAGGTTTATCTAATTGGAATTGTTATGAAATTTTAAATGTACCAGGTAAGATATAAAAAACTTAATTAAATTTAAAAATAATTATTAACATTATTTTATATATTTGATATACTCAGGTTTAATATTTATTAAAAATCCATTCACACCAGTTGGAAAAAATATTGGATGAAAAGATACATTGCAGACTACACTAAGAAACCAAATTGTTTAAATATTGATAACCACCATTTTCTTGAGCTTGGTTAAGACTAGTGGACTTCAGTAAATAATGTAGCTGTACATTAAATATAACATACACTTAATAATTACTTTTGTAATATTAATAACAAAACATTTTGGTTTTAAAATATTATTTTTATTTGCAAGTAATTAATTAAGTATTTTAAATTTGAATGTATTAGTTAGCTTTCTGTACATAAATATGTTACAGCCTTGCAATACTTCGTATAAATTCAATTCTTTGCTGATAGAATTCATTTAAAACCAATATTACCACAAATATGATAGTAACTTACAATATTTATTTTTAAATTTGAGTTCATATAGTATTATAGTGTTTTTTAGGACTAATAATGTTAAACTTAGAGATCAATTACGCTACACTTGGATATCGCAATGACTGGGATACAAAGGTTTAAACAGAATAAATTTACCTTTTGCTGTTTGCATTTTACAAATATTATAAATTATAAACAAAATTGAAAATATTGATCGCAATGTAAATTTTTTTTTTGTAATTATTATTTGTATTGTTTATTCTACTTTTGATTTTTAATTTTTGTATTTATTCTTATGGTCACATAAATTATTAATTTATATTAGTTTTATTAAAATGGTGGATGAAATAATAGTTTTCATTTAAATTTTTTGTCAGGTATATTCTGAATCAGCAAAAGATGAACTTCCAACAGATTTATCTGACCTCAGTAAATCTATAACTAAATGGTTACAATTCCCCAATGAATTCATGGCGGAAGCAGCTATTGTAAACTTCTATCATCCATCATCAAAACTGTCTGGATACATCAATAATTCAGAGTATAATCTCAGTACTCCACTATTGTCAATCAGGTAAAACAAAAGATCAGACTATTGTTCGAATAATTGTAATAATAATATTATACTTACTGTTTTTTTAAGTTTTAGTTTGAGTGCCATATTCCTGATTGGAGGACACTCATTAGATGATAAACCAACTGCTGTACTTCTAAGATCTGAAGATATTATCATTATGAGCAAAGAAAGCGGGTTATGCTACCATGGTGTGCCAAAAGTTTTATTACCTAAAAATAATCAAGATTACAGTTATGACAATGAATGTGACAAATTGTTCAAGAAATACATGCAAGTGACTAGGATTAATATAAATTTTAGGCAAATGAATAATGTTGGTAATGATTAATAAAAAATATGTTTATTCATTGAAATAATTAAATAAAATACTATTATTTTTAATGTTATGCCTAATGGTATTGATGGTATTTTGAAAATAAAGCCCCGGAATAATAATATAGTTTAAAAAAATGTTTCGTTAATAATACATTATATTATATTTTTTTTATTCATGTTTTGATGCAGAAGTAACCACTATTATTATAGCTTTTTTTCAATTTATCCAAAGTATATGTCTGTCACACGTTCATTATAGGAATTTAGATGTATTTTTATTTATACTGACCGATGGATTGGTATAGTAAAAAATACAACTTTGAACAGTATAGAGATTTGAAATTTTTCAGTTTTCTTTGGATTTCAAACTAATAGTCTAGTGTGAAGCCACATTTAGTCCTTAGAGATATTCTTATAAAAACAATAATAATAATAATATATATTTTATTTAATTTCCTGGAATACATAATAAGATTGGCAATTAGATACAAAATGATAATGTCAACTAAAAGCAATACTTGTGGAAGAGACACAGAATTCTATACTAAAAATACACAATAGAGAACTAAAAAACAAAACTAAATATATATATAAATAAGCTCATCTAGAACTAAAACAATGTGTGATGATAAAAGAATAATAAAACAAAAACAAAAACTTAAGATTACAACAGTTCTTATATGTATAATACTGCTCCTTGAAAATGTGTACATACCTAGTAACTAATTGTTACTTGTTACTAGTTATTAATAAGTCTGTCTATTAAGGGGTACTAATATATTTATGTTTCTTTATTTAAAAATAGTTTAGTAAAATATTAAAACTAATTTACCTAAAAGCACACATTGCGGTAAAAAAAATAAATAATTAGTAATTATGAAGCTTACATACCCAGCATATTTAGTAGCCCACATGCTGTAGTAAATATTTTGGTAAAAATAAAACTATGAGCAAACTGGATCATTAAAATTTAGCAGTTTTCTGCAAATTTTGCAACAGTGTGGAATTGGACGTACATTAGACAATGTTTAATGGATTAAACAAGAATATAAGAAACTGATTAAAAGAGGGAAGAGCTTTCCTAATGACCACATTTTTGGTCATCACTAAACCACGGATTATATGAAGCAACAAAACTACTATAGGTATGCAAATATGAAGCATTAAAGGCTGAACTATGCATAGATCATGTTCAAATATGCACTAATAAAGAAATTAAAAACACACTTTTGACAATTGTATGATGATGAAACTTATTGTAAAAAAAAAAAATGACTATGTTCAGAATATTTATTTATGACTATAGTTCTCACAACGGTATAAAACCAAATTTTGCTCCAAGTGGTTGATTGTAAAGCAATGGCACTTGTTATCCAAAATTAGCTTGAATGCAGAAAAAGACTGTTTAACATCACAAGACAGTATTTAAACTTAGAAGACATGTTACTGGTTATGGTGTTGGGCAGTGCAATAGTTGTGCCATTGATGTAAGCATCAATTATATTTAAAGTATCATAGCTAGGATTTTTGTTAAGTAATCTAATAATTTTTGTTCTAAATTTCTAAAAATGCACTAGGCAATTCAAAAGCTGTTATTGATAATTCTTTGATAACTAGCAATAAATTTTGTAGTAGCAAATTCCTTGTTTCTATGACTCATCATACTCTAGAGAAATATTATGTGTAATTATGTCATTCATTAAACAAACTTTTCAATTTGTTATTTCTTAATATTTTTGTATTACATCAAAATTATTAAATTTGTACATAGTACAAATACTTTGTTTTATTACTGATAGATGGTAGATAAATAGAATAGTAATATAAAAAGGTCGCAAAAATTAATAGTGGCGTAATCTAATCTAACCTAACCTACCAGGAAGAGTGCGTAAAAATCTGGAATGTACAAACCTTGAATGTGTAAATCTGGAATATACAATTCTTGAAAATACATATCTGGAAAGTACAAAGAAAATTATTTTTCAAGATTTTTATATTCCAGGTTTGTATGGTTCAAATTACAATAACGATAAATCTCTGGATTCAAGATGTGTATTTTCAAGAATTGTGCATTCCAGGTTTTTATGCACTCCCGGTACTACCTATGATAATTATCATACAAATTAAATTTACGCAGGTATATTTCACCTATCACTACAGAATTTTAGTTTTTTGATCGTCTGAACCTTATGGTAGGTTTACACGAGTTTGGTTTACCAAAATGAACTCATTTTTAAAACCGTATGTGACTATGAGGGATACATACTCAAATTATGTAAGTATAATATTAAAATGTATATTTCAATAATTAATTACAAAAATCAAATGTGTTGACTTTATTTAATTAATTTCCATTACCAAGGAACAGCTCCTTCTCCATTGAAATATGCACAATAGTCATCTCAAATTTTCTTAGCATTTATACATGCATTTCTGTGATTTGTTAGATGAAAATCTACGATGCAACTTTGATTTTGTCTCCACAAACCATTTGTGATTTCATAGTTATAATCATGATCAATAAAACCCGGTGGTAAATAGGTTTGACTTGTTTTTCATAACCAATTATGTATTGCACAACAAGCGAGAACAATTTTATTGACTTTATGAGGTATCAATGGGATTGGTCTTTCAAAAATTCTAAATTTGCTCACAAGTATACTAAAAGCATATTTTGATATTCTTCTAGCCCTGGATAATCTATAGTTGAAAATTGCTTGTTCTCTTGTTAAATTTCTTCTGTTGTATGGCTTCATCAAATAAGTCTTGATCAGAAATGCGACATCAGCTACAAAAACAACATCATCTGGGGTATTTAGAGTATTGTTTTCTACTGCTTCAAAAAAAACTTTCTTGAAATACACCACCATCTGATGCCTTTCCATTTGCACCAACGTCAATGTACGTGAAACAGTAATTGTGGTCAATTAATGCTAATAATATAATACTGTACTGGTGTTTATAGTTGTAAAACTCTGATCCACTTTTAGGTGGTGCTTAAATGAGGATGTGTTTCCCGTCCATTGCTCCAATGCATCTCGTAAAATTCCATTTCTTTTGAAAACCTTTTTCTATTTCATCCCATTCATTTTTTATTTTTGGCACCTAAAAAATTAAAATTGTAAAATATTCAATTTTCAGGTGATATCAAATGAAAACAAAAGTAATGATATAGAAAAAATTGACCGAGAAAATCAAGCTATGTATGACTTAAATGATAGTTCTCAAGTAGAAGCCAGTATCAATGAACTAAAATCAAATTTAACAGAACCTGATATAAGTTCTAATGCAAATAATACTAATAATACAACTATTAAAAGAAAACTTTTTAAAAGTCCACAAAAAAGAGATTGGAATTTGAAGAAAAGAAAATTTGAGACTTTTAAGTCGAGTTCTAGTGAGACTGA